GGAGAATATCCAATACTGTATTGGCAATTTGATCAGATTTTGGTAAAACAAAGGGTTTCTCATTGCAGGGACAAGGTAGTTGAGGTAATGTGCAATACTGGCAACCATTTGTATATTTGCACAAACTTGGTAAGACTAAGAGCTGGCATTATCACGATGGCTACGTGGCTCCTTATCACAGGGGCCTGTGAGTTGGCAGCCTGGCACACAGAAACCATTTCAGGTTGGGCAGGTCTTTACTTCTTCAGAAGAGTCCCCTGGTGGCCAGGACACATGGTTTGTGGTGACCTGAAAGGATTTCCACCTGTAATCCCAGCCCAACCCCAGCTCCTTATTCAGTGCTACATACATAGCACAAAGGCCTGGGGTGCCATCTGTGGGCAGCCTGGCATGCAAAAATCAAGCTTCAGATGGGGCAGGGTCCCACGCAGACTTATTCAAAAGTGTCCTTCAGTGGCATAGACATGTGTCTTGGGGTGTCCCCAAAACTATTGTGTCCCATAATCCCAGCCTAATCTCAGGTCCTTTTTCAGGGCTGTGCACTTGATGCATGAGATTATTTTACATTTTTACTAGCAAATTTCTATTTTTGGATGAAACTCTTGAGCCTGTGTCATTCGTTACTAACACCCTTTAATTGTATAAGGATTCACTTTGAGAAAGGTAATTGGAAATGGAATAAGGAACCAATGTCAGCCCCATTGGGAAGGCTTGAATAGTCCCAGATGCCAGGCAGGACCCCCTAGTTCCTCTATTTACCCCCTGAACCCCTCTGCCCAACACTCTCACCAGGGCTGGATTAACCCTTTAGTGGGCCCTAGGCAAACACACTCATGGGCCCCTACTTAATACTGTATATTTATAGTACTTTTTTCACTCAATAATTATAATGTGTAAAACAAGCACAACTGGGCCCCTTCTTCACTTAGGGCCATAGGCCTGTGCCTAGTTTGCTTATGCATTAATTTGGTCCTGCCCCTCACTTCCTTTTTCTGCTATGGACACTTCCAACCCAGACTGGAGCCCTGAATTGAGGGCTGGGGTGCAGGACAGCCCAGGGCACCCTCCATGCCCTCTGTAGGCACCTACCTCATGTCCAGCCTCAGTTTTCCCATGGTTCTTACTTGCTGTGGATCGAGACCGGTGGTTCCCCATGGCTGCTGCAGCTGCGGGAGCTGCCAGGGAGCAAAAGTCAATCCTAGGCTTCACACAGTCCTGGGACCCGAAACTGAAAGCAAGAGGCCAACTTGACCATTTCTCAGAAATAGAAGAGGCGGAGTCACTGGCCAGGAGCCGGGGCTGGGTGTGCTTACTTAGGGAGTATGAAGAAGGCACTGGGTAATGTGGGGCCCCTGTGGTACACACCTGGCAATCTGGTGGTTGCACCAGAGGAAAAGGCAGACCTTTTTAACAATTTCTTTGGCTCCATTTTTTTGTGCAGGGACCAGGACTCCCCCACCGAGATTCAGGATGGACTCAGGAGAGACTCCACCAGGCCTAGGGCCAGGGAGGACCAAATTAGGGAACTTCTGGAGGGACTGGCCGGGTTTAAATCAG